TCTGATAAGGAAATATTCAATATAATTTTGGAAATTCGTGATTCTATTGGTCATGGTGAACAAGATAGGATGCCAAAAAAACTATCAACTAAGTATACTAATATTACTTGGCAAGGGCAGTCATACATTGGAACACATGGATCTGTTTTGTCAGGTTTCTCTTTTCTTAATTCCCAAGGAAGCTCAGTTTCATTTTAGTTTTTCCAATCCAATCCAAATTACGCTTTATTTGTAATATGGCAATTGCCTGTTACAATGGGAGAACCATAAACTTAAATAATATAACATATTACATAGTATTATTACAATAATATTTTCCTTCTAATTATTTACAAAAGTTTTAACATAGTTGTATAAATTAACTATTAATCGAGTTGTTGCTCTATGGAAAATATAGTACATTTCTTCCACCGATCTGCACTCACTTAAACTTAACAAATCAAATTTCCTTTTTAACTCATAGCTCTTTTCACATTGGCAAAACAAGTGATACTTTGAAAATTCCATATTACATCTAGGACATAAATTATCAGCATACGAGTAGAATTTATTATTTAACATTAATATTTCTGAATTTAGACGTATTTGAATAAAAAACCGTTTTATAACAAAAGGTAGATTCGATAGAATATAATTATTAATATTTGGATAGTTCAATAGTGAACCATACCAGTTTGGTTTTAAACGTGAACGGTTGTCTTCTATGTCACGTGATAATAGAATATCTAAAATGCTATGCGTTAGCTGACTACACAAATCTTCACTTAGATTCGGCGAAAAGATAAATGGAGCAATTGAGAAACCATAACTATTGATCACTCTTGAAATTTGAGCTATCCAATTCCTTTTAGAATTCTTCTGTACAGAATACTTATATAACTGTTGTAGCAGATTGAATGAAATATCTCCACTATCTCTTATCTTCATTAACAGCATCATAGTTCTCTTGATAAATAATGCAGTGGGACTGTATCTGCTTACTTCTAACCTTAAAGCACTCCCCGGAATTTTATATTCCAAGCAAAACAATCTTCGAATAAATTTGTTCTGGATAATCTCCAGTTTCTGATAGTTGGCCATACACCAAAATGGTGATGCGTAGCTCACTGAATTATATACAATTGAATTGAATAGGTTAAACTGTGTTTGTATATTTCTTAGATGTGTCTTAGCAAACAATTTCATTACACCATTAATCATTCTATTAGCTTTAATCATCATC